ACTTTAGTGTGATGTTGGCTGTGTCTTTACATCCCTTCTGGAGAAAACCAGGAAGTGACAACGGGTGGCTTTAGATAAAATCATAGGTGGTTTCCAGAGTTCCCTAATGTTCCATTTCCATTCCCCTAATGTTACCATCTTTTTCTTGTGTCCACACAACTTTGCTAACATCCCTGTGCTGTCCCAGTTTTTCCTCAACTAGGAACTTTCCTGAACTAGTTTTTCCCATACTTCTTTTTCCATTGGAGAATGAATTTGCAAGATAGCCTCTGAACATTTTCCCCCACCCTCATGGATTGCCAGAGAGGGCGGGGGTTAGGGTGGTGATCATTTCTTTAAACTTTGCATGCCAGCGTTTCAAGCTGGAGAGCACCTGCGCTGAAACAAAACTTCAGCCCCATTGGGAGGCCCGACACCAGCAGCCAATCATTGCCTTCCTTACCATTCCTTCGTCCACATTCTAGCATATCCCTGGGCACTATTTCCAAATGCATTTTGCAGTGCTTGCAGCGAGCCTAAAAACACGCAGTCAAAGGAAACAAGCTGTCGTGAGCTATGTATCTGATGCAAGTCAGGTAAAGGAAGTCAGAATTTTGAGAGAGAGCCAATGAGAGAGAACATTCAAACGTGGGAAGAGAGGCAACCAATGAGGGATGAGACGTGTATACCAGGTACAGCTCTCAGATTTGGTATGGTGGGCAGGGAATGTACTTGTAAGAGGATTTCTCAGACCTTTTGAGGCTGCTGAAGCACTGCAATGCTGCACAAAAACCACAAAAAGCAGACAACCAATCCACAATGTGAAATGTGAAGAGATGGAACACTGACGAGGGGAAAAAATGAAGAAAACGTGTGTAATGAATGCGCTGATAGTGCAATAATCAGAACTGCCACAACACCAAAGAAAACCCGGAAGGCAGTCTGGAAAACACCACAGACTTTCCAGCAATTCCTAGAGCTGTATCACTTGGGTTTCTGCTGGGAGTGACCCAAACATAGCCGCCATTGCCAGTTTTTTTCCTCCTGCTGCCACTTGGAGCAATGATGAGCAACTAGGGCTGCTGGCAGGAGACCTGGCATCCCTACTTGGGGGGATGAGCACCAGTGGGGTGCCAACCTCTGGGGGGTGCCTGGAGATTCACCAGAACTATAACTGATCCCCAGACTACACAGATCAGTTTCCCTGAAGAGAACAGCTGCTTTGGAAGGTGGGCTGTATGGCACTATACCCTGTGGAGGTCCCTGCTGCCCTTCCCCAAATCCCCAGGAATTTCTTGACCTAGTGTTGGCAACCCTAAACACCAGGGAAAAGAGAAGACTTGGCATCAAAACAGACAAGTTAACAGGCACATTTGAATCGGCCAGTGAGGTTACCCTACCCTTCCCTAGTTTCTCCAACCGGAATTTTCTCTACAGAGATATGCATGAGACAAACTTTATCTCTCTAGTAGTTCTCGCAGTGATCTACAGATCTGGCGTATCAGATTGTAGGGTTGCCAGGCCGTGCCCAGCAATCGGTGGGAGCTTTGGGGTTGGAGACATGGGGAGGGGGGGTAGACAGTGTTGTGTGTGCCATGTTGTCACTTCTGAGGAAATTTGGAAGGACTCTTGAGCAGCTCTAGGAATCACCAGAAACTTTTTGTTGTTGTTCAGTCGCACAGTCGAGTCCGACTCTTCGCGACCCCATGGACCAGATCCAGCCAGGCCCTCCTGTCTTCTGCCGTCCTCTGAAGTTTGCTCAATTTCATGTTCGTTGCATCTATGACACTGTCCAACCATCTCATCCTTTGCCGTCCCCGTCTTCTTTGACCTTCAATCTTTCCCAGCATCAGGGTCTTCTCCAGTGAGTGCTCTCTTCTCATTTGGCGGCCAAAGTATTTGAGCTTCACCAGAAACTATGTTAACATAAAACTATGTTATGCAGCAATTCCTAGGGCACTTCCGGGAAAACCTGGATGTAACCCTGAATAGCTCTAGGAATCACCGGAAACTATGGCAAAACGTGCAGTGATTCCTAGAGCTACCCGACATCACTGTGGGGGTTCCTCTGGAAGTGATGTCAGAGTGCATGACATGTGTGTGCTTTTGTTCTCCCACTGCTGCTCAGAGTGGCAGCAAGCAACAAGGCCTGGCAACCCTAATCAGATGAGCTCAGGCCCATTCTGTAGCCATGCTCCATTTCACATCCCCCAAAAGAACCCAGCACAAGAGTTGTACTGTCAATAACGACCATGAAACCAAGACATTTCTACTCTTCCCCACCAAGGAGTTCTTCACATAGAATAGCAGTCATCAAGCACAGCAGGCCTCTGAATAAGAGGAATCTTTCCCACTCCATACAGCCACTGTGTTTGCTACAGCTATTGCTCCTTTCTCCATACTTGCAACATGGGTAATCACGTTCTTTTGACACATGCGGTGGACATGCGTCAGGCAGTCGCAGCCTACCTGGCTCCCCAGCAGGGATCTGCCACACACCTTCTCTTCATACCATTCACTGTAACAGAAACCTGGATGTGTCTGAAGCAAATGTGACGTCATTCTGCTTAGGCTGCTGTTTCGTGTTGCCTGGTCAAGGCCTTGAAAGCATGCCAGGTCGGGAAGTTTGCAAATAACTCTTCAATCACTCTAATCTGCTGCTGGTATCAGCTGGCCTCCCCAATACCCTTGCAGCGGGAAATCGGACTTGCTCCTTAGCAATTCTGAACCAAATATTAACCCTTGCAATGCTGGGTATTCCAAAAACTCACCAAACAAGTTTGAGCTAACAAGGAAGCAATTGTTTGTTTGTGCTTTACATTGTTTGTTTGGGCTTTACAGAAATGGGACTTCTGGAGCTCTGAGCTTTCACAGAAATCCCTTTCGTTTGAAAGGCTTCTGAGAGACTTACAAGATTAAATGTAGTGGCTTCCAAGGTTTAGAAAATCCACAGTGTGTGGTGGGGCCTCCCAGCAAGAAACATCTTCAGGGCAGGTTTATTGGCACTAAACAGGCTTTTGGACATGCCACGACTCATGACTACAAATTACGGCACCATGGTAATAGCTGGGAGGGTAAGCATTTCTCTGTGTGCGACATACGTTGAGCACAACAACTTTGAAACTTTCTATACAGCAGAAAAGATAATAGAACTCTGTATACTGGGAAGACAGGAGGGCCTGGCGGGAGCTGGTCCATGGGGTCGCAAAGAGTCGGACTCGACTGTGCGACTGAACAACAACAATACTGGGAAAACTTACAGTTCTGATAGGATGCTGGTCAATTCTGTTTGTCTCAAGAACTTCTGCAAAAAGGAACCAAATGTTCAAGCTACGACCCTATCATACAACTCAAACACACGAAACTAGGCTGTGTACCAAAGCACTGTGTAAGCAAATGCTATGCCAGTGCTACCTAATACTGTTTATATTTCAGGTTAGCCACAAGCTCTAGGTCAGTTTGTTTAAATGACATTTGAGCATGCCCCCCCTGCATTCCAGTTCAGTAGCCGGTACCTAGATTACGACTGCGAAGAAGCTTCTATGCGAGAGTTATATTTCGAAGCACATGATTCTCTTAGACCAGTTGGCTTGTTCAGTTCTCTACAGTTCCCTTGCTAGCTAGATGGCTAGTTGCAGGAAGTTGTACAGCGGGGGGGGGGGGTTTCCTATTGAATAGCCCTATAGCATCTGAACTTTGGGGGACAGCAGGATTTTTCGGTTACTCATGCTCACTTTCCAGGAGTTTGACCAGTCACACTGGGGCTTTGGAGCAAGTCACCATCAAATGTGTCAGTAACTCTCAACTAATTCAGTCACAACTCATAGTTCAGTAGACATCCTGAACTGCTTTCTGGAACGAGTTCAGTAGCACCTTAAAGACTAACAAAATATGTGGTAGGGTATGAACTTTTGTGAGTCACTACTGGCTTCTTTGGAAGTAATGAGCACTGGCTTCTTTGGAAGTAGTGCTCACTACTTCCAAAGAAGTGAGTGGTGACTCACAAAAGCTCATATCCTACCACAAATTTTGTTAGTCTTTAAGGTGCTACTAGACTCTTACTCTTTTCTACTGCTACAGATAGACTAACATGGCTATCCATCTTGTGCTTTCTGGAATGAGAAAGGCCCAGATGAGAAAGTCATCAATTTAAGATGATTCCAGAAAAGACTCACTGAAGTTTAGACTTTTCTGGATGGAGTTGCACTTGCTCTTGGGGAAGGCCATTACATCTGGGATTGCAAGAGGTATCAGTAGCTTTTATAGCATGCAGTACTTTTCAGTAGCTTTGGCTGATACGACAGCTGCAGTCTTTCCTTCAGAAGTATCATTTGACCCGTCAGTCATGTACTTATTTGTAGTAGTCCAACCTCGATGTTGTCTATTCTTCAGGAGGCAGCCTTGGAAGACTGTCTGAAAGATGCAGCTATTTCAAAATCCAGCAGCAATTATGGATCCCACCAATTCCAAAAAGACTTGGACTGGCTAGAGGTGCACTTCTGGACACATTCTGATTTCCCTACGTAGTCCTACATTGTCTGGGAATGGGGGATTTTGAAAAACTCTTTCATAGGAACCAGCCTGGCTGTTCAGATTAGAAGCTCTGTGCACCCCACTGAGTACAAGGCAAGTGTCTAAGGATGTTTTGGTACTACAGTGGAAGGCCTAGTCTGATGTTCTCCTTAGTCTAAACATCCTTAGACATTTATCTGGTATCCACTTGACAGTCTAAGGTACCTGCCAAAGATTCTTCATCAAAGCATCGGCTAATTCTGCTACTTTTGTGGTTTGATCCCATATTTCTGCCTTGCTTTCATGGCAAGTATCAGAACAGTCATTCTAGATAAACCCAATAGCTACAACTTCTTTTATCTGCTTCTACTTGGTCAGTTTAGGCCTCCATGACCTCTGCCACTGCTTGGTCAGTTTAGGCCACCATGACCTCTGAAGTGTGGGATAAACATCTCAAACGTGCCAATTTCCATAGGACAATCCAAGAGAGATCCTACTTTGAAGTCAAGTTACATTTAATGTCAGAACACTTGATGACTACTTTTTACATTGTAACAAGATCCATAAATTTCTACATTTCCAGTCAGGGAAGACACACATAAATGGATAGCTTTTTCTTGTATTACAGGAAAGTGCAGGAGAGTATGTACACGGAGAAAAAAAAAACCCAGCTTAACCAACTGGTAGAACTGGTCACTGCAGACAGTATTTTCTAGTAAAAGGATTACCAGGCTTGCACTTATTCCAATCATTTTAACAGATACTGTTTCAAGTTTATATTCCTAAAAATGCCAAGAACAACCACTGAGATACACAATCCATAACAGTTGGGTCCGTTCTCCAGAATCTGGGTGTCCATTTTGATAGTTAAAGACTTCTCGCTGAAATGCTACATCCCTCTGTGAATAATCCCAGCCCCAAATGTGGCCTGCTGAGCAAAGTGGCAATTTCATTTGACAAACCAAGTTATTAAACACAAATTCGTTTCCCAGTTGTACAACAGTATGGGGATTCCTTCAAATCTTGCATTTCTGTCTCTGTCCCTTTCTCATTACTGGTTTGCTTATAGAAGCAGGATCTTGTCAACCAATATTTTACTAGAGAAGAAAAAATTGTAATTTGTTCGTTTGTCTTGGACAAGAAAGCACCAGAGTTTCTCTCAACTCCCACTGGATTAGATATATAACGTTAGAGCCAAATATACTTTTTTGTACTGGCCGGTTAGGACCCAAACACACCACTTGCCCTATTTCTTCATTTACCCTTTTTCTCACCTTTGACATTCATTGGAGGAGGTGGGGGTTGGAGTGTTGAAAGTTCTTAAAGCTAGAAGTATTAGAAAATGTTTAATCTAGGCAACCTTGTGCTGTTTCCTTCCCTTGTGGGTGGAGGTGGGTGGAGGTGAACGCAAGGCTACGTGACTTCATCCAGCAAGTATCCAGTTTCCCATTCACCTCACTTTAGATGACCGTTAAGTTGTAGACAGGAGTGAAGGACTAGCGGACACCAAACCCCCCCCCAAAGTTCAGTCTATATCCACAAGAGCCAAAGTTCTTTCCCACAAGATGTAAGCTGGTCTCTAAACAAATTCCTTCCTTGGCTTCAGGTGGCAGCAACCCAAGGTCTTTTTGGAATGATTCACAATATGTAAGTGGATCAATGAGGCAGACAAATACAGAGTGAAGACCATAACAGAAGGGTCCAATTATCCATAACATCTTTTGCCAATGAAGTCCAGTAATACTTGCTTCTGATGGGAAAAAAATTAAGATGGTTTAGCATGCAGGCTCACGTGTACATCTCTCACTGGTGTGCAGGTATAGAAAAGAACAAGAGTCTATTAGCACCTTAAAGACTAACAAAATTTGTGGCAGGGTATGAGCTTTCATGAGTCACTGCTCACTTCTTCAGAGTGTAGGTATAGTTAGGGTTGATTACTAGTGGAGGTCTTATATGGTGCTGCAGTTAAGAGCATCTGGGAAACTTAAGTTTCAAGTCCTTGCTCTGTCATGAAACTCACTGGGTGAGCTTTGGCCAACCATTCTCCCTCAGCCTAACAAGGTTGTTGAAAGAATGAAAGGAGTGGAGAGTACCAGATAAATCATCTTGAATTTCCTTGGAGGAAGAGTGAGATAAGAATACTAAAAATGCCCATGGATTAAAAATACCAAAACTGAGCAGAGTATGCTCCAATTTACTTTGTCGGTTTCTAAATACCATATTGCAAAAATAAAGCACTTTTGAGGATCTAATTTCACATGTCTATATTTTTATCAATTGGTCATACATTGCACTGTGACACTGTCAATACAACTAATTTTCAATATGGCCCCATCAGTGGGTACTTAAATCTGTACATTGGGGCTATGCAGAAAGAAAGGACATTCCCTACATACTTGGAGGACGTCCCAGGTTTGCAAAAAAATGCCATACCTTTCAAAGGGGGGGATTAGCAAACCCTCCAAAAAAACAACAACCCAGCAGTATGCTGAGCACTGTAGCGGGCCAGTGGTGTGTGTGGGGGAGACAGGAGCTGGGTCGTGGTCTTCTTTGGTAACACCAAGGTTAAAGGAGGCTCCTGCAATGGTGATTTTCCAGAGACAAAAAAAGTTTGTTCTATTTTGATGTGCTTAGTTATGTTTGTTGGCTTTTATGTTTAATATGTTGCATTATAAATGTGTTCCTTTATAATGGTATAAACTGTGTTGAACGGGACTAAAATAAGGGTATAAACCACACTGAACAGAAGATGGGCTAAGCTAAAAAAGTTGACCAGGGATTTGCCTTTAGATAGGGACATGTATGAATAACAAGAGGCTTAGGGTTGCCAAATGGGGCCGGGGGGTGAAGGCCCAATTTCCATTGCAGCGGAATTGGGGCCCGGGGGGAACCCCACCCCCGAAGCTGCGTCACCAGAGGTGACGCAGCCATGTTGCTGACGTTGGGGGCGTGGCTGAGCTCGTCGGGGGGAAAACCATACGGTTTTCCCCCCGACGAGCTCGGCCACGCCCCCAACGTCGGCGACGTGGCTGCGTCACCTCTGGTGACGCAGCTTCGGGGGCGGGGCCCTGAAGAACTCCCGGACCACGGCGAGGCTCCCCCGCTCCGAGGGGTGAGTCCACTTGGCAACCCTAGTCAGGCTGTGGTTACTGCTACAAAGAAAAGCAATTTAAAAACTTACCAAGTCTATACAAACGGATTGCCAAAAGGATCCCCAAATAAAGCAGAAGACTGAACTGTAGCCTAGAAGAAATTGAACAAAAAAACCCCTTCTCAGTACTGTAATGGGAATTTTGTATTGGAATACATTTTTTTTCATGCAAGTGTCTTACCAACATGCAAGAGTGTGCTTTTTCATCTATGCAATCTGAATCAAGCCCATCCCTGGAGGTTAACACTGAAGTAATAGCAACTCACACTTTGCAAGGGAGTTGGCACTAGAATATAGATGGCCACCACTGCATTGTTAAGCACTTACAGCCTTCCCTCCTCCTCGGAAGAAAATTACTCCAGATATTACAGCTCAGAACTTAAGGGCTGGTGTGACAGACTGTGCTGTAAAAGCTTATATGAGCTGCGTAAACATGTAATGGGCTGTGAAGGATTAATGTCTCACAGAGCCAGAGAGCCTTGAGTGACAGGCTGCTCAAAGGAATTTGATCTGTTAGTGTCAGGTGAGAAGAAAGACTTGGGAACTGACTGCTGAAGAGAACTCAGTTTGAGTTTAGCCCTGACTGGAAACTTTAACTCTGACTGAGGAGACTTTAGCTCTGACTGAAAATAGTTTCATACTGACTGAGGACTGGGAAGGTTGGTAAGGAGGAGTGGCTGCCATTCAGGCCAGGAAAAGGGACAGATCTTCTCGTTAGGGAAGAGATTCCCTGCCCACTCTGTGATCCCTGGTGTGTTTAGTGAAAGAATTTGGGTACTTGGTAGTGTATCCTGCCTTCTGAAACCTGAAGAGTCAGTTAAACTCAAGAAAGTGAACTGGAATGTTCAGGAAACACTGAAACCAAAGCCTCTCATCTCTAAGACTTTGTAAAAAGCTTAAGAACTCCCGCATGCTGGAAATATATGAACTGGAGTTAGTGATTATATTACGTTACCTCAGAGTTTATTATTGATTTACACCTTGGATATTTCCCTCTCTATGTTGAATAAAATATATTTTTATTTTTGAACGTTCTAAAGCCTCTCCTATAGGAGCTGCGGTGGCTCAAGTGGTTAAGACGCTGAACTGCAGGCTGTGGAAGGTCGGTAGTTCAGCGGTTCAAGACCCGGGTGCCGCAAGACGGAGTGAGCTCCCGTCTCTAGTTCCAACTCCTGCCAACCTAGCAGTTTGAAAGCAAGAAATTGCAAGTAGATAAATAGGTACCACTTTGGTGGGAAGGTAACAGCGTTCCGTGCGCCTTGGTGTTTAGTCATGCCGGCCACATGACCACGGAAACGTCTTAGAACAGTGCTGGCTCTTCGGCTTTGAAACGGAGATGAGCACCGCAACCCTAGAGTCGGATTCGACTGGCTTTCGAGCAAGGGAACCTTTACTTTTACTAAAGCCTCTCATGTGCCATTTTCAGAAGTTTAATTTAAGAAGGTGATCTTGTCTCTTCCCTCAAGTTCCTGGGCTGAGCCAGCGTCAAAATACAATAAAGTAACAGGGTGGGACAGCCATATATCTTCAGATAAGAAGGAAATAAAGGGTCTTGTTCAGTCAGAAAGGAAAGGGGAAAATGGAGGGGAAACCCTGCACCTGACTGAGGGAACAAGGCTAAGTCATAATAGCTGGCCATCCCTTTCCCACCCAAACAGGATGGGTATTATTCATTTAGTTTGATTTTTATCCCACCCTCCCTGCAAGCAGGCTCAGATTACAAATCACAAAAACAACAATATAATTTAGATCATTAAAACCATATTTCTATTAAAACACAAACCAAACACAATCAGGGTGGATTCACCTTGACAACGATGTTCAGTTTGAACCGGTTCCATTTGGCCAGCACTTTCAATGGGGAGGCCGAGGTAGATTTGGATGTCTGCTGCCTCATCCAAATTTCCAAAAGCCCGGCAGAACAGCTCCATCTTGCAGGCCCTGTGGAATTGTAATAAATCCCACAGGGTCCTGATCTCAGGAGGGAGCTTGTTCCACCAGGCTGGGGCCAGGGCAGAAAAAACCCTGGCCCTAGTCAAGGCCAGCCGGACATCCTTGGGGCAGGGGACAACCACAAGATGTTGATCAATTGAGCGCAATGCTCTGCGAGGGCGTAAGGGGAGAGGCGGTCTCGAAGACCTGCAGGGTCCCTGGCCATATAAGGGTTTTGAAGGTTAACACCAAAACCTTGAACTGGATCTGGTACTTTATTGGCAGCCAGTGCAGTTGGCACAGCACTGGCTGGATGTGAGCCTGGACAGGCGTCGCTGTCAGCACACGTGTCACCGCATTCTACACTAGCTGCAGTTTCTGGGTCAGGTTCAAAGGCAGTCCCATGTGCAGCAAAGTTACAATAATCCAGACTGGAAGCGACCATTGTGTGGACCACTGTAGCTATGTCCTGGGAAGTGAGATACAGGACCAGCTGCAGCTGGCAAAAGGCTGATCGAGCAATGGTGGCAGCCTGGGTCTCCACTGAAAGAGAAGTGGAGGTCCTGTTCTCTTGAAGCCAACCAGTCATGGCCTGTAATGCCGTATCCAGTACCTCTGGGGTGGAGTCTGGCCAGCTACCCGTCAACAGATAGATCTGGCCCATACCTCTGGACCAACTGGGCAAGGGGGCACATATTGATGTTAAAGAACACTGGGGAGAGAACAGCCACTTGCGGCACCCCACATTCTAGTGGGTGTCACTGGGACAGTTCCCCCTCAAGCACCACCCTCTCCCTGACCGTGAAGGAAGGGGGAAAAGCCACTGTAAAGCAGTCCCCTGTATCCCAAAGTTGGGGAGGTGGTGGGTCAAGAGATCATAGTTGACCGTGTTGAACGCTGCTGTTAGATCAAGAAGCAACAGCAGTGTTGACCAGCCTCGATCCAGATGTCTTTGGAGAACATCTGTAAGGGTGACCAGCAGAGACAGCAAGTGGGCCACTAACCAAAGTGATTTGGTGGTGCCCAAACCACACTTGCCTAAAGCAACAATTATGCAGTACATGCACACTCCACTGCTTCTTACCAGATGCACACCTGTATGGAATAAGCAATTTGTTCCATGTATGGACTGCTGCCATCTAGTATGCTTACATACATAATAGGATGATTGCTCACTCACAGCTGCCTAAGGATGTGCAGAAATTCTAAAGATGATCTATGATGATCTATGCAGTTAGATCTTCTATGCATCGTTCTGTGCATACTTCAGACTGGGTGGCACAGGAATGAGGAAGCAGTGGGTTTAGAAGACCCTACATGTGATAATTGCAGGATGATTCCTATAATTGCAGGATGATTCCTATAAGATAGAGGTAGGACTAGGTACCACCTTTGATACACCCTGCCATTAAATCCTGTGCCCCATGATCAACTATAGCAAATTAATAGTCTCTGATCTTGTGCCTACATTCTGTAGGAATGAAACTCTCACACTGTTACCTAGCCCTGCAGCTCCTAGTACATTGCTGATACACTGACACACAACTGACTATACCAGCCAGCCGCCTTGGGTTCAAATACTTACAGAATTTAGTGAGGGAGCACCAAAAGGGTCTGTCATAAAAGGGTTTTCAAACAGGTCCTCAGCAGGATTTTTAAGGGGCGCAGTGGTTTGTCTAGGAGCAGGCTTTGGTGGCACTAAGGTGAGGGGAAAAAAAATACTTGTAGCTTTAAGTCACTTTCATGCAATAGAGCAACAAACCTTTGACACTTAAAATAGATGTTTCACCCTTTGTGTCAATTAACTTTGCATAGGATGGCACCATTATGCCAGACCTATAGCTAACCCTCATTAATAAGCATGCTGATTTTTCATGTGTATTAAAAATCCATTTATTACAAATCCACGGGTTACTTTTGGGGGAATGTAGATACCCCAAATACTAAGTGTACAGATGCTTTATGAGACTGTACCCTATACGTGGTATGATTAGGCTGCTTGCAACAGATCCGCACAATCATTGTCCAAAGACAAGCACTCAAAAAAGACTTGAGCTACAGCTCCTGTTACTGGAAGAACGAGAGCATGAACGATCATTTGGTTACTACAGAATCAGAGCACAACAGCAGTGTTCTTTAAAATGTCTTTAATACAGCATTTCTACTTGCTGTAAACTTTCTAGCATTTCATCACAGAAGACACAATCTGAAACCTCTTGGAAAAAGAGTCAGTTTTAATTCTGGAAAGCAGAACTCCTTAGGAAGGTTTTTTTTGGATAAAGGAGACAAGAGCCTACAATCCAATCTGATAAGGGCAGAAACGCGGGGTATAAGTTCTGTAAATAAAATAAACAAACATGAGGATCCTTAAATGCCTTCACTGAGGTTGCCCCAGTATGGGACCAATACTTCTTTACCTCACACCACACTTGTGTAGAACCCTTTATAGCATAAAACTCATGGATCCACCATCTGCTTAGTTAGATCATTGGCCTACTAAGGCCAGTATTCCCTACTCTGATGGGCAATGGCTTTTCAGAATTTCAAGGAGAGGTCTTTCACATTGCATGCAGAAGGTCCCAGATTCAGTTCCTGGTATCTACAAAGGTAAAGTAGAGAAACGGCCATTATGAGAACTGGAATGCTCCCACAGGGCTAGAGCAACCTGTTTTCACCTTGTTAATCCTTACAGGGTTGCTACAAGATGTCAAACAACATTCCCATTTTACAGATGGGTTAACAGAACGAGGGATGGACAGGCAACTGAGTCTTCTCAACTGACGTTTGGTCATTTAACTAGAAACTAATTTGTACTAGACTAACTATATTTGAGTCCATTAGCACCTTATTGAGGCCAATGTTTTTTGGAACATAGAATCATAGAGTTGGAAGGGGCTATAACAGACCATCTAGTCCAAACCCCTGCCCAATGCAGGACCAGCCTAAAACATCTCTTGACATTTAGAGTGTCAAAGTTGTCTTCATCAGATGTCTAGTTACCTGATGAAGGGAGCTTTGACTCTTGAAAGCTTATACTCTGGAGATCTTGTTGGTCTGTAAGGTACTACTGGGCTCAGGTCTAGCTCTTCTACTACAGACCAACATGGCTACCCCCTGAAACTAATTCATACTAGATTAATGAAACTGCACTCAGCTAGACACCACATAAAGACAGCCCATCAGGCACACTTGAGTATTTTCCTCTAGCTACTAGGAAGGGGTAGGAGAAGAGGGAAAGGTCAGAAGACCTTCCCCTAGAGAACACGGATAACAAGAGAGGCAGCTTTACCACTGATTTTAGCAGACAGCTGACTAGCTTCATAGTCATCATGGTCAGCCACGTCTTGAGGAACCCCTACTTTGTTAGTGAAGTAACTGGCAAAGGCTCCAGAGGCACCAGACAGACCTTGTTGCTGCTCTGCCCTCCTGGCAGGCACAGCAGGTGGCTTCGTCAGCTGGAAGTCTTTGAACATCTCTCTTACATCCTTTATCTCCTTATCTCCAAGAGGGTCCAGAGCTGTGAAGGCGTCGCTTTCCTTCTTGGCCGGCTCTTTCGGAGGTGCAGTTCTGGGAGGCAACTGAGGCGGAGGACTGGTTGAGGACATGGAAGACAACAACGTCGGGAGGGGGGCAGCTAGTGTGGATGGGAACATGCTGGCCTGAAAAGGGTTTCCTGTGGAGGACGGCTGTGCCCAGGCGTTTGGAGGAGAAACTCGTGCTGGCTGACCCCAAAGATCAGGAGCCGGAGGCTGGCTCGGGGCTCCTAAGGATGCTGACTGATTCCAGCCAGGAACTTGTGGAGTAGCGCCGAATCCAAGGGGCTGAGGAAAGCTTGCTGGCTGAGCACCCAGAACAGATCCAGGAAATACTGAACTGGGCTGGCTGAAGACAGTAGATGAGGGCCCCCATGCTGGTGTCGGGGAAGTCACTGTAGGCAAGCCACCTAAGGAGGGAAAAAGCCAGATCTGTTATGCTGAAGCAGTTAGTGGACATTTCAGAAGCTTCCGGAAGCCACTGTTCCTTGCTAGGCCTGCAATCGCGATATTGGTGTTCCTTGATCCACTCCTGTGCAGAAATGATCTCTCTGCAGCACCACTTCCCCCCACAGTGCTTACTAACCTAGTCCAGACATGGGTGGTACTGCAGGAGCACTGGCTTTGAAGAGGTCCAGAGGGCTGGTTTGCACGGGGGCCGGCTGGACTGCGGCAGTAGTCAAGGCGCTGGTTGTGGGAAGGCCAGGAGCAAAAATGTCTGATCCAAACAAGTCATTAGCTGCACTCTGAAAGGGAAAGATCCATTTTCTAGGTTACCACAATAGTTAAAGAGTTTTCCATGCAAGTGTTACTTAGGGACCTTATATACACTGCCTGCTTGGAGGCCCATTATCAGGTAGCTTCCACTTCAAACCTTCTCTAAAGGACTCCCTTCCACCTGATCTTTGGCATTTTGGGCATAAGTTTTGGTTTCACAGCTAGAGAGCCAGTGGTTTTCTCCTGCTCCAATGTCTGATCAAGTGGAAGAGCAGACAGCGGATATGCCAGAAGGATTCTCATGATTGTATCAAAGCACAGACCTCGGGCAGGTTACCAGTGAAACTGAATCACTAGCCAATAGTTTTGCTGTTACTTTAGGATAAGGGCCAAGATCATTCCTGCAAAGAGGTAAGAGACCTATTACTCTAGAGATTACTCTAGAGGGTGAGCCGTTTACATGGCCAGGCCAACAAAGTACGCAAAAATTCTCTACCCTTTCCCACAAGGGTCTGAAGTCCATCCTAGGCAGTACACTACTACTTCACTGACTACCTTCCCCTCTCAGTTGAAGTGCTCAAGCTTTTCTCTTCGATTCTGGGATTTGATTACACTGAAGTATAGCCTTCCGAACCGTTATCAGAACATGTATTAAGAGGTTTTTGTGTTGTTGTTTTTTTACTTACCAGAGTTACAAAAGCCATGTCAGCATTAGAGGAGAGAGAAAGGTAACGTTTAGAAAGAGATACAGATGCAGACATACAACTAAGCCACGCATGTAAGGTTTTACGGTGGCTGATGGCCACTCAAGACTGAAGGCAAGTATGTCTGCCAGAAAAAGAAGCACTTCTGTTGGAGGAAGAAGATGACTTCTTCGCCCAGCCCAAGTAGAACACATGCATGTCACCAGTTTGTGTACCAGTCTGTGTACAAGCCCCAATGTTCACCTTAACAGGCCTCCTTCCTCTTCCTGGCTTGGTACTTTGCGGAGGTGGGCTAATTGTTATCGAGTCATGAGATGTCGTCAACTGGATGCCGCCGTTGGAGTCTAGCCGTAATCCATTTTGCAGGGGCAGTCCTTTGGAAGGGCTCTCTGTGAACACGTTTGGTGGGGATTTGGCAATGATCCCATTCTGTTCTCGCTCTGGCACCCCGTTGGGAGTCCTTGTGGCTAGCTGAACTGTCTTACTCTCCAGCCCCCACTGACCAGCCGGTAAATCCTGCTTGCCAGTTCGGTTGGAAATCTGGTCGAACTGTTTCCCAAAGTAGTCTACATCACCATTCACACCACCGCCGACAGTCGTGCTCACCATCTTCTGATTGGGAGGTTTTAAAGAATCAAGAGGGAGGTGTGCCAATTGGTCAGGTTGCGTGAAAGGATCATCACGGAAAGGGTCGGGGTTGGGAGTAGGAAAGAAGCTGAGGTTTGCAGAGAAAGCGGTTTCAGGCAAGAAAGGTGGTGGTGGTTTTGGCTGTGACAGGGAAGGCGTGATGTCATTCAAGAAAATATCATCCTCTTTGACAGAAGTTGGAGGGGCCTCAACTTCAGCATTTAAATCCACTAACAGGACCTCTTTATCCTCCTCCTATTGTATTTGGGAAAGAAGATGGATTAGTGGATGAATTAAGCCAAAGAGTTCAAGACATGTGCAAGCAGTTGTGTGCTCATTGGTCAGTTGTCAAAAGCATAAGCAGATTCACTATGAACTTAGTTTTTAAAAATCAAACGCCCTGTGAGCTATGAACAAGTTTGCCAGCTATTGTATTTTATCTTGGAAGTCTTCCTAGGTCAGGTACATACAATCAACTTTGAAATGCTGAAAGACAGGATACGGAGTGAAGGCCATTTAGAAGCTGCCTCAGATCATGAATGATTGGAGTCCTGCTCAGATGTTGAACAGATGCTGCCTTAATGGATCAGGACCAAAAAGTTTAGCTCAGCATCCTATCCAAGTATAGCCAGCCAAAAGATCGTGAAATTTACAAGCAGGGAATGAAGGCAATTTGCTGGATGGAGCCTAAATGAAATTCTCTATGAACAGGAAATCAAGGAAAGGAAGCTTGAAACATTCTCCAAAATCACACTGCACTTACGGATACAAAGTTTTATTGCTGAACATGAGTCTGCCATACACTGCTACACAGGGATACCAGACAGACTCCAGATCTCTGCTATTTGTTCTCTCTGGGACTTAGAAGCATTTGTGACACACTCGTTCCCATCCCTACCATCAGAGGTCCTTTAATCTCAAAACAAAGATATTGTCTCCCAGTGAACTACAGCTTCTCCACTGCTGGCACTACCTATTGAGAAGGGCTGGCCAAGAATTTACCATGCACCGTTGCAGGACGGCAACACTGCTCATTACACTCAGTGGTGCAACCAAGGCACAGTCTTCTGAATAGTAGCATTGAAATATTCTCCCTGGTCCTACACTGCACGTGAATGCTGGCTGTCTTGTACTTCTGTCTTTGTTCTAGAAGAACCATTCTAATTATGTTGGTACTGGGACCATTTTGTCATGCAATTTCTTTGCCAGCTCAAACCAAGGTTTCTTTTTCGGGACCTTGGATTTTACCACCCTATTTTCTTCTGAGGAGGAGTTTCATATAGCACCAGTTAATGTCATCATGTCTTTTTGCATGGCTTAAAGCTTTTGCCACACATGACAAGAAGAAGAGCTATTCTTCCCAGCAATAACTGTGGGAGGCCTTAGGGCGCCATAATGGGTAGCCAACTAGTCATCATTCACATAATTTCCCAGTTCTTGAAGCTGAAGGACCTTACTGACTTATAGATTCTGCCAATTCACAGCAGGCTGCAAGCCAAGCCATTACTCACTGTGGGAGTGTTCAGGTCAGGGGGAGTTGACATGTCTCCAAAGAGATCCATCTGATCGACACCCTTTCAGAAACAAAAACTGGAGTCAGCTTAAGAAGTCACTCAAGCCTAAGCAACAACAGAGCATACATGGATGTATCAGAGCCAGAAGCTACACTGCCTTGAATTACAAAACAGCCAATGTGTGCTTGAATAACACAAGCTGTTCTGGCTGAACCACTATACAAAAGGTTGGTTTTAATTGGCTACTCAAGCTAGAAACACCTACATACCATCTTTATTTTCCCAGCTTGATCAGTTGAGTCATCAGTGCCGTTCTGAAACAAAAGGAATGCAGAGTCATGTTTGAGAGTTGAGACAGTGCCAAAATTTGTTGTGTTCTTGACCTTGATCAGCAAGAGCCAACACTTGCAGAGAAGGCTTCTTCTAGATCCGTATCTTGCAGCCCCCCATGGATCTCAAAGCATTTTATACAGAATTCCCAGGAGATCTCCCATCCCAGTACCGACCAGACCCATATCTACTTAGATTCATGCACTTTGAATATACTTGACTAAGTGTGTGTGTGTGTGTATATATATATATAGTTTTTCAAGATATATGATTGGATAAACATGTGGAGCAGGTCCACCAATGGCTATTAGCTGTAAGGTATAGATGGATGCTATATCTTGGGGCAGTGATGCTCTGTATTCTTGGTGCTTGGGGGGCAACAGTGGGAGGGCTTCTGGAGTTCTGGCCCTGCAGGTGGACCTCCTGATGGCACCAGGTTTTTGGCCAGTGTGTGACACAGAGTGTTGGACTGGATAGGCCTTTGGCCTGATCCAAGATGGCTTCTCTTATGTTCTTATGATTTTGTCTTTTCTTACCTCTGCTGTCTTATTGGTTTCTTCATTCTGAAAAAGTTAAAGAGACCACTTAGCCAGACAACCCTTATAAAAACTGAAGTTACCATGTCTTGCCACCCTGCATCTTTTTATCTCAGAAGACTTGGTTCAGCAAGAATTCAGTTACTACAGGTAGGATGACTTCCTCTGTATTCAATCCAGCCAAATATTTCCACAGAATTGCACCCAGTTTCCTTCCCCTCTGCAGGCCTTATCCTACATGGTGACTCGCCCAGAGTCACCCAGCAAACTTCCGTGGCAAAGTGGGGATTCAAACCTTAGTTTCCTAGAACCTAGTTCAACCTTTTAACCACTACACTGATTCTGAAGACAATGAGGTTTTAATATAATGGTTTGAGGTCCCCCCCCCCCATCTTTTTGTAACATCTAGACTCAGGCAGGTTTGAGAACCCAGACGTTTGCTGTACGGTTTTTGCCCCTGGACATTAAAGATTTTGTTGAAAGATTGACTCTTCCATAAGTCTAGAAAGGCTTATATTATCTGAAGAAGTGGGCATGCACACAAATACTTATACCCAGAATTCAGCTTCATTGGTCCTAAAAGGTGTCACTGGACTCAAACTTTGTTTTATTAAAAAGCAGTGTTTAACTGGCCTTACCTTTTTCTTGTCCTCTTCTTCCTTTTTCTTTGTATTATAGATAACTTGGAAGAGGTCCTTCAGATCTACAACTAGAGGCTCAGCCTGGAAGATGGAAGCAGAAAGACTCAAGTCTTTGGAATGATGGTTTAACACTAATGGCATTTACCATCCAGTATGAATTGAATGCATACGACAGATTCCCAAAGAAGCATACCGTCTTTCTATGTATGCGCAGTTCCCTAAGGAGGTAGGCTGTTCTGGCCAGTAACAGCCCATAGCAGAAAAGAAGTTTCCCAGCACTTCTGCTTTTAAAAACCAGATAATTAATCAGAATATCATGCAATGGTTCAGTTGCTTGTGTTCTGTATGTTGTGCATGTAAGGACCAAAAGGTAAAAAAATATATTTTTATTTTTATTTATTTTGGGATTTATATCCTGCCCTACCCATGTTCTGGGCATGGAACAAAGTGTTCTGGGCAACTTCTGGGCATGGAATAGGTGTCACTGGGGGTGTGGGGGGAGGTATTTGTGAATTTTCTGCATTGTGCAGGGGTCTGGACTAGGTGACCCTGGAGATCCCTTCCCACTCTAGGATTCTATGTTTGACCCACCCAACATGCTTGGCCTTTAAAGGATAAAGATAGTCCAAGCAGCAAAGCCCTTCCCATCAAGGGAGGTTCACAAATGCATACTACTTAAAGGCACAATTTCTCCCCTCATTTTATTTGTGGGGAGCACGTGTTAGGGACCTGAAATGACCCCATGTTCAATTGGGAGCCAGACTTGTGGTCTGGAGAGTTGGGTTGGGCTGCATTTCAGGAGGACATCATCCCCATGGCCTTTGGCATGATGGTGGTGATGGAAAGCACTGTCAATTGGCAGCCAACTTATGGTGACCCCGTAGGGTTTTCAAGGCCAGATGTCCAGAGGAAGTTTGCCATTGCCTGCCTCTGCATCACAACCCTGGACTTCCTTGGTGGTCTTTTCACCCAAGTATTAACCAGGGCTGATCCTGCTTCGTTTCCTAGATCTGATGAGATTGGGCTAACCTGGCCTATTCAGGTCAGAGATTTGGCAACTAATTCAGACTCTGTCATGCCATCTCAAAACAGTCAAATCTAATGAAGCCTGTTGCAAAAGTGATTTCACTGATCACACTCTAGCTTATTTTCAAGGAAGAGTAAGTAGACTGGAGTCACATGAATACATGAAGCTGCCTTATACTGAATCAGACCACTGGACCATCAGTATCATCTACTCAGACTGGCAGCAGCTCTCCAGGATCTCAGGCAGAAGTCTTTCACATCACCTAGTACCTGATCCAGGGTCCTAGGTTCCCAAACTTATTTGGCCTTCCGCCCCCTTTCCAGAAAAAAAATTACTCAATGCCCCGCTGGACATCTACTTTCAAGAAGTGGACAAAAAGCAGTTTGTGGATCTGCACCTGGATCGTTCCAGCCCACCTGGATCATTTCAGCACCCCCTAGGGGGCGGTATTGCCCACTTTGGGAACCAGTGAATGGAGATTCTGGGGATTGAACCTGCATCCTTCTGGCATACAAAGCAAATGTTCTGCCACAGCCCTCCTCCACTCTAGCTTGTTATACACTTGCCCTTAAATAGCATGTTCTACATCCAGTCCTCTGCTATGGAAACTTTTCCAAGCACAGGGGGTGTCTTCTCTCTAAGTGGCCCCTACCCTGGGGAACTCACAATGACACTTTGGTTGACAATGTAAAATCATCTTGTTACGGTAAATTTGCATTGCTTAGTGCAGACCTGGTACAGTCTGGGTCCTTGGAAGCTGAGAGGCTACTACTTGAGCTACAGTACCATCAACATCCCTGGTTCCAAGATACTCCACTCCATTCTGGAGCTTTTACCTGCTGTGCTGTTTTTATGGCAAAAAACTGATGCTGTCCTTCTCCTCCACAGACATAGCCAAAGGCACGATTGTCTGTCACATCCCGAGCAATAAAGGAGATTTTGTTGACTGGATGCTCATGCTCAATAACCTGAAATGGAAGACCAGACTTAGTTCCCCTGAGAAGCTGCACAGCCTCACAAAGGGTCAAGCCTATGTAAGTTTCACAGTTGCTTGCTCATCTTTCACTGTACTCCTTACAGTAATGATCTAGAAAGCAGCCGGTTCTCTCCTCTTTAGCTTCAACATCTGCATTTTGGCTAAATACACTGTTGCCAAGTACTAGTGCAAGAAGCACCAACTTAAGGTGTCCAGTATTAACATCCATGCAGGGTTAAATCTGATTGGTGCATCCCATAAACAGAAGCAGAGCAACTATCAGAATTATTTTTACCCATATTAGTCTCCATATTTCAAGCTCAGGAGGTTATGTATACAAGATACCAGTGATTGAGAAACAGACCGATGATCTGTGAGACTAGTAGGTTCCACAAACATCTGCAAGAGTCCATTTATTTTGCCATCAAATTGCAGCTGATTTACGGCAACCCTGTATGATTTTCAAGGCAAGAGGCGGACAGGGATGGTTTGACATTGCCTAACTCTTTGGCTTCCTTGGTGGTCTCCCATCCAAGTACTAATCAGAGTTGATCTTGCTTAGCTTCTAAGATTGGCCTAGACTGTGTTATCCAGGCCAGGAAGCAGGCTTCCATACCCTAAGATTTATACTACACACAGAGAGAGAGACACACACACGATGCTTCAACCTCATATTAATGAATGTAATATTATACATTATCCACACTCAGGGCCATATTAGGACATGCACAGAGATGCCCAAGCTTTGCCAAGCTTAAGAGCCCCCATAGCCTTAAAGTGTATGCCAACACTGAAATTCAGTATTTATTTTAGTTTTAGAGCTCCCAAATCATAGCTTACTTAGCCTGTGCTTAAATCCAGCTCTGCATAGACACAATAAAAATGACATCAGCCTCAATTGGCTAGTTACTGTTCTGTTCTTTGAAGCATATCCAGTACAAATGTTTAGTCAAGTAGCCTTCGAATCCAAGAAGTTACTCAGATTGGTGATTCTCATGCACAGGGAATCAATCGTTCTCCAAAATTAGGTTATTAGCCATAAGACAACACGTGCTGGATCAGACAGTTTACTTGCTAAAACTTACCCCTGTCTTCTCATCTATGATCTTGATCCCAGAAAGAGAGATGTTCACCCATATTTTCTGCTTGTGCTGTCCTTGAGAACGGGCTGCTACTGCCATTCCCTACAAGAACAGTCAACATGAGCATAAGAGCTTAGAATCACCCCCTAGAATACGCTTCTGTTGGTTTGACTTTCATGATGATCCAAAGAGGCATTTTGGGCACAGCAACAGAGTTCTCCAAGTATTGGTTCTTCATAATGGCTTAGGGCTCTCAGTTTTACGAAGAAGCTCTCAGAGCAGGTGGGGTTGTTCTCACCTGCATTCTGGCCTAGCCACAGCCAGAAAAACTGTCGACAGACTTGGTGGGCAAGAGAGTTACTTGACCATAACTTATGATCATCTGGAGGCTACTTGAGGCTTTCATCTACAGGCATCGTACTGGAACACTGACTTCTGCTGCTACAGGAAAGCAGCTGTGATCAGCAGTCACATATTTCTCAAATATGGCAGTTTACCAATGTTATTTGACTACATTAGCTAGGGTCCTGGAACACATTGCCCTAGAACACATTGTATGCATTCTTCCAGTGGGAAAAAAGTATTTTCTGACCCACATGTGCAGGTGGACCTATATTCTAGCCAAGAAGCTGAATAAGACCCATGCAGATCAAATGCTGGCATTTCAACCATACCAACTTCTATTTGAGACTGTTCTAGCATTGTGTTTCATTCATCTAGCAGAAGTACGGATTTGTAGAGATCCCTGAACACCCACCTGTTAGGACAGGCGGCCCATCAAGTAGCTGCATGACAGTTTGTACCAGTTTGGCATGAACATGCTGTGTTCCAGCCTTGCATGTATCCAGTCAGAAGTGGAGACATGTAAGCTGGGACCTTGTTCTGATCTCCCAACCAACTGGGCCAACTGCAAACCTGTGTAACAGCAGTTCAAAGATGATATCTGAGCACATATCTCAGCACAACAGTAAAAAAATGGTCATGTCGGGGAAGCTGAACTGCAAAACTCACATCATCACTAGGTATTCTGAACTTGACTGAGTAGTGGTAGTAGTAGTAGTAGTAGTAGTAGTAGTAGAGTTGGATTTATACCCTGCCTTTCATTCAGAGTCTCAGAAAACCTTACAATCTTCCCTTCCTCTCTCCACAACAGACACCCTGTGAGGTAGGTGGGGCTGAGAGAGCTCTGAGAGAACTGTGACTGACCCATGGTCACCCGGCTGGCTGCATGTGGAAGAGTGGGGAACCAAACCTGGTTCTCCAGAGCAGAGTCCAACACTCTTAACCACTACACCAAGTTCAGCTTGACAAACTGGGTCATTTACACCAAGTTAGCCCCTTCAAGAGCTGGCTTAATTTTAACAGTAGAAATAGGAAATATAGTTTTACAAGGAGCGAGAGCACTCCCATCTCTAGCTGTCCCACTTTACAAAACTACATTTGCCAGAATTCTTAGTGGGAAGTAAAAAAAACTTTTGAGCTATATATGCATGAATTTTCCTGGCCTACTGGACACACGGAGCTGCCTTATACTGCATCATACCCTTAGTCCATTAAGTTCAGCATTGACCATTCAGATTGGCAGCAGCTCTCCAGGGTCTTCAGCTGAGATCTTTTACATCACCTACCACCTCTTAACTAGAGATGCTGGGATTTGAACCAGAGACCTTCTGCACGCCAAACCTAAAACTCCAGCCACAGCCCCTACTGGATGCTCTCCGGAGACGAAGGCAGCAGGCAAAACTTACAAGTGACCCACCTTCAGCTTCATCATAGAATCTTGGCTCATCTTATCTCCTCTTGCTTCTGGAACGTCATCAATGCCGATCAGCTTGGCCTTGTATCTTACGCCATCACCTTGAAATCTGGCCAGGAGGAACTCATCTGTCTTCTCAGACCCTGTGAAAAAGTTTTTGTTTTCCGAAGTGAGCACGGGTGCGTGACGTTTCCCTCGAACACAGTGTGTCCAATGACCACTGTGCCTCAGTTGCAGAAGTCAGCAGAAAGACTGCCTTCCGCTTCTGCCGGTTTGCTCTAGTGAGCTGAATGAACTCTGAGCAGGCCGAGATCCAAGCCACAGTAGACAGATAAAGGCTTGTGCAGTAATCACAGGGAATGGTATCAAGATTCTGCATGTCTGCTGATAGGTTTATGATGGCCACTGTCCTACGTCCGTACAAGAAAAGCTGATTTAAATGTACAAACATACCATATGCACAAAAATGTAGCTACTGGTGTGCAACTGCTTCCCTCATGTGCTTCCTGTGGAAGAAACCTGCACCACAGTAATATTTCTAAGAGCACACATTAAAATCACACACATCTGAATCCGTATTGTACACAGGGCAGCTCTTGACCAACCAGACCCCTATCAGTGGCCCTGCAATGTGTTGGAAGGCCGTAAGGTGGCAGCATTTGGCTAGGCTTGACCAGATTCCAAACCTGATCCTTGAGCAGTTTCTAGTTTGCCTGCTCCCTTCATGGCTTGGGTGTAACATACACACTTGAGGCATCCAAACCCAGTGGGGCAGGTAAGGACAGCCTCGACTCCAAGCTAGACAAACCAAAAACCATCACCAATATTGACAGGTTGGGATCTTGGCATTTCTTCTTGGACAAGTTGTCTTTCCCAAGTCCTCTGCACTGGAACATCCACACTGCCCCCCCCCCCCGCCCGCTCAGGTTTCATTAAGCTATTTAAACCATGGCAGTTTAGAAGCCAGAGACATCCGATGGTATGTGTATATACCCACAGTTTCTTACCTTTCTTTTTCTCCTTCTTGGATGGTTGTGTTTTCACGGGTGCCTGTTGCTGGGCAGGCTGACTGTTCACGCTTGCAGTTTCTGCTTCGTTCGACATGGTGAGATAGAAGCCAGCCTCACAACGCCAGGAGCATTAAAGAATGCTTCACTCGATATGCCGCTGGAATCCAGTTAGGGCTCCTTAGTGTACAGGCATAATACTCTCACCTTCGAAGAAAGAGAAAGTCCGGAGAGTCAGCACGTCAACTGTGATGGGTTGTTCTACTGGTTATTTTTAAAGATGCACATTATGGCTCTTGAGCGGCAGAAGGATCTTCTGTCTGCCTGCTGGCAAAGAATTAGGAACCTTGCCAAGGTGGCAATAGTTAATTGAACCTCTTTGCTGTGATGTTTCTGAGCAAGAGTGCTTAGAGCAACATTTGTGCACCGACACAGACACTATTAAGTGTCTCCTATTGTGCTACGCAACCGTAGCAGAATTCAGATAGGAAATCAGGAATAAACTCGGAGTACTTAATGACAGCGCTTTGCACCACCACTACTTAAACTGGTTGCTAACATAGCCACGCCCATTCTGGAGATGGCTTCCTAAATGCTGAAGCTCTAGGACTTCAAGGAAGAAGAGGAGGAGACTGGATTTGTAGCCCTGCCCTTCACTACCCAAAGGAGTCTTAGAGCAGTTTACAATCCCTTTCCCTTCCTTACAACAGACACCCTGTGAACAATGCTCCCTCTAAGCTGTGGAGTCTTGTGAGCAAAAATTCTACTCTGAGCTACTGGCATTAAAGTTGTGATTGAGTAACTTGGCTACTACATTGTTTGCTCTGGAGACATCCTTCCTGAGCTAAGACAAAAATGTATGAGCCAGAGGCTAAAAAACTGTGAGCTACCTCACACTAACTCAGCTTAGAAGGAACACTGCCTGTGAAGTAGGTGGGGCTCAGAGAGCTCTCTCGAGATCTGCCCATGAGAGAACAGCTCTGAAAGAACTTATGACTGACCCAAGGTCACACCAGCAGCTGCATGTGAAGGAGTGGGGAATCAAACTCAGTTCTCCCAGATTAGAGTCCACGCTCTTAACCTCTACACTGAACTGAACCAGATGTGATGCACCCCCACATATTAGATGCATGAATGCACTGATGCACCTAAGTGATCTATTAGAAACGAGACTAGAAGTCAGGGAGAGATAAAGTCTGTGCGTGAACACCCCCCCCCCCCATCGGTGTTCCATTGTCTGAAACACTTCTACCCAGTATTGGAGCCAAAAGATGAGGCACTACTGCAAGGAGAAGGCTTCAGACAGACTGCAGAAAAGGTGGGGACGGGGCAGAGCTAATGAGCTTTTTAGCTGCATGGTCTGTTGAACACTATCCTGAATAGTGAGGCTGTCCCGTCACCTCTTGACCAGCCCAGAGTAATAGGCAGTGGCCACCAATGCTCATCTCCCCATTATGAACAGGCTTTTCTTAGCACCATTCCTCTGACATATCTGAAACTCTCTCTTCCTTGCCTGAGAAGGATGCAACCGACTGGAAACCAGCAGCTCATGTGTGTACCCCAGGGAAGAACTCCACCAGTGCACAGGCAACCCAATGCCCTTTGCCTGTCTCTCAGCTTGTTCAAGGAGGACTCTGTAGGTGGAAGCCAAACCCTTCTGCCGGTATCAAATTCATCATCTGCCCTTCGCCTGTTAAATGAGTTACCAAACCAGGAGACTGCAGGATCAAAGCAAGGCATGATCTTGTTTAGCACATTAACTTGGAGATGCTGGGGGGGGGGGAGAAATGTCACGGAGATCAGCATCCAGCAGGTGCAGGATCAAGGTACATCCCTGCTGTAGATTAGAGATTAACCAGTTTATGGCTACTGAGTGATACTTTGGTTACAGATAACTGGAGAGGTTTAGACATCTATCCTGTCGGAGATCTCATCCCATCCCTTCATGCTCTCCAAGAAGTGAGGAGTACCAGGTATTCAGCAGTAGCATTTAACTCTCGCACAACTACACAGAACAGCACAGTAAAAGCTAGTAACTTTGCCAATTTTATCTAGCGACACTGCATCATTTGAAAATCATACCACACTGCTCCAGAAACCTGATGCAGGATTCTCTATTTGAATGCTTCCCTTGGGAAAAAACTGCCCATAAATATACCACATACAGAGTTGTAGTAGAACCTTCCCCACAAAAAAAAAACTTTTAAAAATATGGACGGGTAACCAGGGCTTGCTTTCAGTCAGCTGCTCCAGGAAGGCAAATTCTGTGTGCATAGATCTATCCATGTATTTTGGAAGCTGGACAGTTCCAGCTGGTCAAGTCACTACTAGCTATACAACGTTCCTGCAAACTAAAATTAACAAACACCTGCAACAGGAATGAAGACCAGTAATTAAGTAAACACCCAGGGATGATGGCGGAATTGCTTGTCTCAAGTCTGAGCTGGAAACTCTATTCAAGATAAGGCTGGATTTCAAAGAATGGAGGACATGGAACACTGGTATTATAGGCACGTACTATTTTTTTTTGGGGGGGGAGTTCTTCTCGGAGGAGAAGTCCTGCATGGTAACCCATTCGTTACCCCCATTCAGTCAGTGACACCTTACTGAGAGCCAGTTTGGTGTAGTGGTTAAGTGCGTGGACTCTAATCTGGGAGAACCGGGTTTGATTCCCCACTCCTCCACTTGCACCTGGCTGGATGACCTTGGGCAAGCCATAACTCTGGCACAGCTGTTCTTGAAAAAGAGCAGTTTCTGTCAAGAGCTCTCTCAGCTCCACCTACTTCACAGGGTGTCTGTTGTGGGGAGGGGAAGGGAAAGGAGTTTGTAAGCCGCTCTGAGACACCTTTGGGTAGTGAAGGGCGGGGTATAAATCCAATCTCTTCTTCTTCTTCTGTACACTTGGAAGCTTTTGGTTAGTTCTCTCCTAAATGGCTTTCATGCCTTCCGGAGCCCTGCAGTAGGCACTCTGTCACTGAGGACTTCAGGGCTACAAATATTTTCCCTATAGTGCACCTACTTTGCTCCCAATGCACAACTTGGGAATCACATGACTTCATATGGCCTGAAGTCTTCTGGAAGGCCTAACTGGAGACAATCCTCAATAACCGCCCATATTCAGGACTAATCAGGTGGCAGCAATCAGGCAAGCTTCTGCAATGTTTTCCAAGGTTTATTTTCATTTAGACCCCACTTTCCTCCCAGTGGATACTTAAAGCAGCATACATTGTTGTTACTTTATTTTACCCTGTCAGGGTCCCCTGGCCCAACGTCATCATTCAAGCTTCCATGGCAACGTGGGGCATTCAAACATGGATGTCCCAGATTCCAACACAACTCTCTACCCAATAACACAACTCCCCCCCCAATTGCCATGAAGGTTTCCCTTGCTCGAAAGCTAGTCGAATCCAACCCTAGGGGGCGGTGCTCATCACCGTTTCCAAGCTGAAGAGCCAGCACTGTCCAAAGACGTTTCCATGGTCACATGGCCAGCATGACTAAACACTGAGGCGCAAGGAATGCTGCTACCTTCCCACGGAAGCGGTACCTGTTTATCTACTTGCAATTTCTGGCTTTCGAACTGCTAGGTTGGCAGGAGCTGGGGCCAATACTGGCTCTCAATTAGGTCGCTTCCATCTACTCCTATGCTACAACGGAGCCTTCTTCAAATGTACCAAATGTCATTTTGCTGGATTATTAAAAGAGCTGCCTTCTTCCCCCCCCCCCCGAGACTTATACCTTCCAAAGAAACTGAAATCATGTTTACTTCTTGCTTGTAATGCATCACTTAGTTAAGGCCACTGAAGTGCTGACCAAAGGATTCAAGGAGGTGCAAAGGTTACCGTCTTGCAAAGTTAATATTTTAGTGACTGGGACGCCTTTGATCGCCACCCCAGATCTTAAGTGACCTTGGAGCAGTGACTCCGAGCACCACCCCCACTCCATTCTTCAAGCAACTTGCCACCGCAGTAGTGGAATTTGTCCATTACCCACTGCAGTCCGTCTCACCACGGTTGTCCACCTCCAGGCGGGACCTCCAGTTATCCTAGAATTGCAAATGGTCTCTGGACCGCAAGAGATCAGTTCCCCTGGATGGAATGGCAGCCTCAGAGGGCGGATCCTATGACATCACATCCCCAATGACCTTCTTCCCTAAACTCTGCCTTTCCCAGGCACTCCCCCCCCAAAAAAAAAATGGCCAGGAATTTTCCAAGCCTGAGTTTGTAACCCTACTTCACTCATCCTGATCTCCAAGGAAATCAGAGTACATGGCTCTCCCCTCCATTTTATTCTCACAACCAGCTCTATGAGGTGATAAGATCAGCCGCACAAGTGGGCCCAGATCATTCAGAATCCTTCATAGACCAAGGCTAACCACACTGGCTCTCCCATTAAGCCTGCCAACCTAGCAGTTTGAAAGCAAGAAATTGCAAGTAGATGAATAGGTAACCCTTCGGTGGGAAGGTAACAATGTTCCGTGCGCCTTGGCATTTAGTCATGCCGGCCACATGACCACAGAAAAGTCTTCAAACAGCACTGGCTCTTCGGCTTGGAAACGGAGATGAGCACTGCAACCCTAGAGTCGGATTCGACTGGCTTTTGAGAAAGGGAACCTTTACCTTTACTTTACACAGGGAATGGGGTGGGGGAGGTGGTATCTTTGCGGAGAAGACAGTCACCCCTCTGGTTCCCTGTAGCAAACCATGAACTGGGAGCCCAGGTAGGACCAGATGGGCAAACTTGAAATCCTACCTCACCCCCTCCAGTCATTCTGTAGCCAGGCCTACTCAAGCCTTGACAATTTACCTCACCCCCTTCAATCATTGTATAGGCAGGCCTACTCAAGCCCTGACAATTTACAACCTCCCTAAAAAAAAAAAAAGCCAAACCAATCAGAATCTCAACATCCCATGCCATTTGGAATATGATCAGGCAGTTTGAGTTTTTTCTTCCTTTAAGTTTTCCAAGTTATTTTCCCCACACATCTGGGAAGCCTGAGTGCATAGAGACCCCTGCTGCTTCTGCGAGAGGCCTGCAACAACTGCTTTTGTGTCAACCCCCCCCCCCCGCCTCCATCTCATTTGACTGTTGATGTTGTCCAGGAATGAAGACGCAGTAGACATTTTCCCTAAACTCAAGAGCCCTGTTGTAGACTAAAGCCATTATTTTTTCTTACTAGGGCAAAGATTAATTACCACCATTTTGTG